GGTATAATTTCAGGTGCTGTGTATCCCTGAATTTTGTGATAGATTGAGGCAATTCAAGTGCTATCAACAATTTCGTACTGATCACCTCATGTTTTTTTAACCGCAGAATCGATTCACCTGAATATTCTGAATATCGATGAATTTATTATGAATATTCTAGTGTTTGAAGAACCTTCCCATTCTTCAGTACTATCGAAAAGGTGAACAATTTTACACGAAGGAAAAAATCATTGTTATTAAACAATTCTTGCTTGACGAAACGAAAAGTTAAATATGTGAGAAAAAAAGAAATTGCATCTAGATTTGTTTTTTAATCAATAAAAGAAATCCTAAATAAAAAATTCAAATGATTCTAAAAAATATGAAATTGTTCGGCATTGAATAAAAAAATAATTCAAATCTTTTGCGTATTCCATTAAATTCTAATTCAAAGCTATTCGATGAGGAGAACTTTTAAAGGTTTAACTAATTGCTCAAACAATTAATTCCTGGAAAAATGTTGGGCATAATCGGACGGAGGGAAAAAGATTGTGGGATTGTAGATGGAAATTACAACCGATGCCTCGTGTGTAGATTTTGCCATTCCAAAGTCACTCCAGTGAGGAGCGTAATGCTCACATGATACCCACATTATAAATAATAAATATACCGGGATCAATATAATACTGAGGGTTAGTTCATGCGCGCAAACCGCACGATTATGTATTTATTGTTGGCCTACATAACGGTGACTGATATTGGACAGGAAAAAGCGACTTGTACTTCGTCATCAGACATTTGTGCATCAACTTATCAATCTTCCTTCGGTTCCGGACTATTTTATGCTATCCCTATGTACAATAACGCTATTTTTGGTCATTCCTCGGTTATTTGTGGACAGCATGACCCAACGGAAATCGACGTTTTACCGATAAAAAAACTTAGGCCCTATCGTTTTTGCCTAGTCAAGCCTTCATTGCCACTATCGAATTATTCGATGAATGACGAAATTGTGGGATTAAAGGGCGAAATATTCTCCCCATTTTTACCGCTTCGATATATTTTCTTGGAATGGACTTTCATTTGTGTTCAATAATTTATTGATTGACAAAAATTTATAATCACTTTGATTTAAAAATTCTTTGAACTTGTGTACAGAGATTTCATATATTACATAATATATCATATAAATATATGAAATACAAAAATTGCATTTGAATTTATATACATTTTTTTATTGATTAGATAAAAAATCAGGAAATTCCTTTTTTTTCTTTTTTTTGTCCATTAAATATTTTTGTTTATAATAATCTCCATTGATATTCTACATTGAAATTTTTTGAATAAACATTTTTGTAAACTTTAATTAACAACAAAAAGTGGAGTGAACACTCGAGGATATCAAGTAGATTTAATTGATAGGTAAGTTTCCCGGGAATATCTGTATATCTCTGAATGTAAGAGAGATAATAAAATTTTTATTGAAACCTTTTCTACAGCTCTCGTCGCGTTCTACAAAAAAAGTTCTATGAAAAATTTCGCCATTTCCCTTAGATTCAGAGATATTCCGGAAAATCGCTTTAATCCTGAACTTTCCTCTATTTATTCGACGGTGAATTCTTCGAGATTTAAACTGATGAGTTCTGGGTCTTGAAATTTTTATAATAAAGTGATCAGTACGAGGAGAAGTATAAAGCTAGAATTAGCTTTGATCTAGAAAAACTAGACGTCTGAAGAATTCATGGGGCTAGTTTATAATAGCCCCCGATGTCTATTTTTACTCAACACACCGACCCCGACGACGATCGACATTTACCCCTGGCCTCAAGACACTCATTCCCTCTTCCTTCCATCCCCATAACTTTCGTCAAAGACGGATAAATTGAAAAATTGAGTTTTACCGGTGTCTTTCCGCCTTCACTCGCAGCGAAATGCCAAACTCCAACCCTCTAAAACCACCTGAAAATGTAGTCAACCGCGTTGACTTAGTATGTCCTCAAGCTAATTTTACCTCCTTCATCCACTTACCCCGGGACTCAAACTTTCTATAATTTTCCCACGGTAAATCCCATGATTTTTTTAAGAAAATCCAATCGCTCTCACAGTTTCCCATCCATTTCTAAAGCACGAGGTTTGGAAAAAGAAAAATTACCAAGCAATTGCCCGGACTGTTGATCACTTACTCGTTTATTATTAATTCAATTGAACTCTTATTAATTGTTGATTGCATTTTACTGATTGCCAATTCAATTTAATATTATTCCAATTGATTATAAAATAATTTGCACTTAAAAAAATGCTGAATTAATTTCCAGAAACTGTTGAATTGAAAATAGAAAATTCACTTGCAAATTGACGAGATTCATTAATATCGATTACAATAATCATTATGAACATTCTCTTGAAATGATTTTTTCCTGAATGCATGACTTCCCGTGGGAAATCGAAAGCTCTAATTGATGCCGAGCGTTAATTACCCGATGTTCCTTAAGAAAATAAAAGAGTAACCATTAATTAGCGCGAGAGGGTGGGTTTAATATGATAAAAAGTTTGATGCGACTTTATCGTGGTCAAGGGTGTGTCATGTGCAATATTAAATATATGTGACAGTACAGCAATACAGGGTTGTACCATTAAATCTAAAGTGCAAAGTCGCTGCACCTCTGATATTCCCGAGTGGGTTCTTTTACCAAT